AGTGCTAGGATTACAGGCGTGAGCCACCGCGCCTGGCCTACCCATGCATTCTTTTTTTTTTTATTTCAGCATATTATGGGGGTACAGATGTTTAGATCTACCCATGCATTTTAATGGCAGCTTATTTTATTGAAGTTTCTGGTGTTTTCCTATCATTTTCCCAATTTGCCTCCTCGCCCTCCCTCTCCATCCCCGAGGAGGATAGGGGGATTTGGTCTAGCCTTATGTTTTTTCCCACCTTGGAATTTGGCTTTCTCACCACTCTCCCCCAGTCCTCAAAGATTACTATGGCTGATACCTACTTTTTGATGCTTTATTTCAGACTGTTAAGAGGAGATGGGAAAACAAGCATTTCAGAGAATGATGCCCTTTTTGTTATGATTTCATATGGAACAATATTTACTTCCAGCCCATATTTTTGGAAATGCAGACTTAGCGGGTCACCTGTGTCCCACCTTGTGTAGAAGAGGCTGCAAGAGGCTCCACCTGGGGGAGTCCGAAGGTATAGGATAAATTGTTTTTTTGGATTCCTTGGGGGCAACAATTTGTTCTACAGTGATTCATACTAATTCTCTGTGACATTTGCCACATGAAACATCTTACTTGAGTTAGGTATGAGAATTTCAGAAACTTTTTATTGAAGATATAATAACATAAAACCATATCAGGTAAGAGGCCTGTTTAAACTAGAACACAGAGCTGCAAAACATTCCACTAGTCAGACCTTTTAGAGCATGAAGCTTCCTGGTCCAAACAGAGTGGCTTCTCGGTATCTTTTGGCCTTTCACATGTTTAGTCTTACAGCTACAGTGAAGAAGAGCAGGATCATGAATTAGCTGTGCAACTTGGGCCCCCAAGGAACCCTCATAAGGCCTCAGCTTTGTCAGCTGTAAGATTTGAAGGGTAGCTGATCTCTGAGGTTTCTCCCACCTCTAAAATTCTGTGATTCTATGTAGCTACTTTGGGCCTGATTTTAAATTTCTACAAAAATATTACTCCAAAAACATAAAGTTAATGTAAAAACATTTGAGAATAAAAGAAGAGGAAGAAATTCTCATATATCCTACTGACTTAACAAAGTAATTGGGTCTTTTGCATTTTATCTTCTCTGTCTTAATTTTCATGGGTGCATTGTAAAAATAGTTGCAATCACAGTGTACACATAACTTTGTCTTTTGCATTTTATTTGATCTTATATCATGAATATACATATTGTTCATTAATATTTTCATGACTGCATGATATTCCATTGCATTGGTAGATCATATTTACTAAACTACTCCTTTAATGTTGGACATATAGGTTGTTTCCCTTGCTTTTGTATTTTTTTATTTATACCGCCACTAAATCAAATTTTATATCTGTCCCAGATTATTGTTAATTTTAAAGACAGACATCTAGACATTTAAAAGGAACAGCATCAACCATAACATTAACAAAATAGCAGAAAGAATTTCCCAACACAAGAGCCGTAAATGTCTGAGGTATTTCTGTAAGTATGTGTGTGTGCTTGTAAGTGCTTTTCTCTTCTCTCATGCATAAGTCAGCTCTTTCTGATGCTGGTTCAAAACCACAAGCGCCAGGATCCCAATCGGTTCCTTCTTTGAATGTGACCGTTTGCCTCGTGTTGCTTCAGCAGTTGTCAAGATCACATTCTTAGTCTCAACCCGAAGGGAAGCTGCGTTGTAATACTGTTGGAGCTCTCTTGACTAATCGTGTGGTCTGGCTTAGGTTGTCCTCAGTTCGCCCTTTCCGTACACACCACGGCTAAGCTGCTGCAAGGGCCGTGGAACTGCGCTGGGAATAC